TGTTTTCTGTGTTTATTTAATGCGTTTTTGTGTGTACCTTTTATTGAGAAGTTATTTTAATGTGTCTTAAAATATTTACTCAGAATTTTAAAGGTTTTATTTTGCTTAAAGGTGTGATAAATGATTGATTTTTAATATGTTACAAGTACAACAAAAATTTGTAAATTTTATACACAAGTAAGGATCGACATATACCTAACCTAGTTAGCTATAGTAATATAGAAAGTTTTAATGCTAAAAAAAGTATTGAAATAAGTCAAAACTGCAAAAACGGAGTTACATAGAAATTGAAAAATTTTATCCCTACCATCTTACCTTCAAATCTAATTACAGTGCCCTGCAAAGTTAGCATATTTTGTTCCCCTCTGAGCTTGCGATCATGAAACTTTGAAATGGGACTATATATTTAGAACATACACAATCTAACCCAAACTGAGAAAGCTAAAAAAACGCTGATATTATGTGGGTAAGTTAGATTTTCAAAGAAAAATTGGAATATTCTGAATTGCACAAGTATTCAACCCCTTTGCTATGGAAACCCTAAATCAGTCCAGGTGCAATTTATTAGCTTGCAAGGTCATAAAATTAGTGTAATAGTCTCTGCGTATGTGCAATCAAAATGGTGTAACTTGACTTCAGAGTAAATGCATCTGTTCAAGCCACAACTCACATAGTGATATGACAAAACAACCATGAAGACCAGGGAGCTTTCCAAACAAGTAAGGGATAAAGTGGTAGAGAAGCACAGAACAGAAGGTTAGAAGAACATTTCAAAGTCACTGCTTATCCATATGAGTATGGTGAAGTCCATCTTTATTAAGCGGAATGCCCTTCATACCATCCAGTCACTACCCAAACCATGCTAGCTTGTATGGGCGAATGGCAACAAAAAATCATCAAAATAATCATCACAATTATCGTATGGAATTTACAATAAAACATGTAAATAATACTGCAGACATGTGCCAGAAGGTTTTGTAATTAAACAAGACAAAAACTGAGCTTTTTATTCTAAATTCAAAGTGTTACATCTGGTGCAAGCCCAACACAGCACATCACCCAGTCAACACCATCCTAACTGTCAAGCATGGTGGTGGCAGCATCATATTATGGTGAATTTCTCATCAGCAGGGACTGGGAAGCTGGTCAGGATTGGGGAGAAGATAGATGGTGCAAAGTACAGGCGAATCCTAGAGGAAAACCTGCTTGAGTCAGCCAAGAGTCGAAAACTGGGTCGAAAATTTACATTTCAGCAGGACAATGACCTAAAGCACAAGGCCAAAGCCACACGGGGGTGGTTTCAAAAAAGAAAGTAAATGTCAGGAGTGGCCCAGTTAAAGTCCTGACTGGATTCCAATAGAAATTTATGGCAAGACTTGAAGATTGCAGTCCATCAACTATCCCCAACGAACTTGTCAGAATTGGAGTAATTTTGCCAGGAAGAATGGGCAAAAATTACACCATCCATTTCTACAAAGCTGGTAGAGACCTATCCAAAAAGACTTACAGCGGTAATGA